GATACAATGAAAATTGTTCGTAGTCAGTTATGTTATGATATTTTTTCCATTTAATCCACGCCTTTTCTTTATTTTTAAAAAGATGTATTAAAGGGCGGGAAAACCATATAGGATAATCATTTTATAGGTCGCTGCGGCACATGCATTTTAACAATTTTATATATCGTTTCATAGAAGCACTGAGTAGCAGAATCTAATGAAATATCATTCAAAATTGAAGCCCATTCAACAGAATTAATATCCCTATTAATATCAGAATACTTTGCCTCAGTAAAACGATATCTAGGTTGAGAAGATCGAGCCATGGGCTTATGTAATAATCCAAAACAAACTACGTGCTAAAAAGGCGGATGATAACTATCTACCGGCAATAAAGGGTTAAGAGTTGGCTTACAGACACATATTGTGTCATTCGAAATTAATAAATCCAAAATACGGTCTAAGTGATTTCTTATAATTATAAGAAATCACTTAGACCGTATTTTGGATTAAGGCGCTATCGGCCGAATGTTTTGATAAGTACCTGCAGTCTGTTGAGGATGGATTTCTATAGCTCGCTTAGGGCAGCTGGATCGAAGGTAGCCCCTTTCCCCACAGCCATAGCACCTAGGGTTGTATCCATTATTGCGGTCGCGAACTGTAGCTGCTGCAATCTCCCTGACGCGATGGGAATGAAGATCCTGCCTCATGGCTTCAACCTCAAGTGCATCGGCCAAGGCGTCCTTAAGTGTCTAGTGGTGCCCGAGCCTCACAGCAGCTCTGACTTCAAGGTCGCGGATGATGTCAATGAATGTCTGCACCAGATTCCCTTCAATGAGCGCTGGTACAGACCGGTATGCTTTTCACACCAGCTTCTCCACCTTTAGAACCCACTGCTGCAGGTTTTCGTTGATGCGCTGCACGCGATCTTTAAGCTGCGCACGAAAGACGTGTTCCAGGTGAGCGTCACCATACCTCGCCTCCAATGCCTCAAGGAGCTGCTCATAAGTCACTTCCTCACCGAGAGCTTTCAGAACTGTTAAGGCCTGGTCGCGCAGGCCTAGTGTGAGAGCAGTCATGGCCTGACTTTTATTCCAGCCATTCGCCTTCATAACAACTTCGAACTGGATTTTGTAGGCCGACCAAGAAGAATTCCCGTCGAACGGTGGCACTTTGAACCCACGTAGCGAAGGTGTAGTAGCTACTACGGGAGCTGTAGTTCCATCCCCAAGTTTGAGTTCGTTAAGTGATTTCTTCATGTCAGCCATTACGTTGTCAACCCGATGATTCACTTGGTCGATTCGGGTGTTCCTCGATTCGGGTTTCAGCTTCTGGCAGCCGGTTGTCATGTTGAGCAACCCTATCCTTCACCTCCCTTATCTCTTTCCCGAAGCTAGCGTGAATGTCCTTCACGAGAAGCATCTGCTCTTTCTGTCGGCGGGCCTGTTCCTCCTGCTGCTCTTTCTAGCAACGGGCTTGCTCCTCCTGTGGGCGAGCCTGCTCCTGCAGCATCACCATCAGAGCACCTAAGTCAGGTGCTGCAGATGTAGGAGCTACTGACGGGCCTGCAGCCGGCGGCTGGCCCTCCGACGTCTGCGGCATTGCACCACCAAATCTTCTTTGGTCCGTCTCCTGCTGGCGTTGACTTCGGGTACGGACACCCTTCGTTTCCTCCTTAGGTAAAATCGGCATGATTTTACCCCACTTCTGACACCAATTTACGACCTTAGGGTTCGTGACAATAAAAACTGCCGATTGAATTACCAAAATTTACACTTTTATTACTTAACACTGAAATCCAAAATTTTGGGTTTTGTCATCAAAAATCATTAAAGCTTGATAAAAAAATAATTGTCGTAATTCGTCTAAGACAAGTGGGGTTCAAATGGTTCTGAATAGTCTATACTAGCTCCGCTTTACGGCTTTGCATCGACCTTCCAAGCACCCTGAGTATATATATATGTATATTATAATGTGATGCAGTTATGTATTATGTAGCTTCAAATAAAGATTTTCCCTACTTTCGTTTTCTTTTTCATTAATGTCATTATATAAAAAATTTCATTATATCCATAACGAATATTTATAGATGTTTCACACCTTAGTCCCATCAAGGGTTTAATATATTAGCGATGTAAAAAGTGGACGTAAACCTCGTCTCAAAAGGTAGAGCGCATGTCCACGGGAAATTACAGGGAGCTTCTTAGCAGACATATACAAATGGATTTCAGTGGACAGAACCTTACTTAAAGATTTAGGGGACAACCGACCGACCGACCGATTGACCGTACCGCTGTGTGCAATACTCCCAATTGCTTTCTACGTACATATTTTAACACCGAATTCTCCCTCGCTAACGGTAGATCTTTTTACTTTCGATCTCTTAGTAAAAATACTTGCTAAATATGAACAATAGCCTCTAGTAAATGAGGACTTAACATTTAAATTAATTGTTTAATTCGTACTGGGAGGGTCGAAGACGCATTGGAGTCATACGGCGTACAAATCTCACCACATCCATTTAAAAAAGGTAAAAAAGCTTATGCTTATACCAAAAGAATAAGCATAAGCTGTAATAACTCTTTATTTTAACTACCCCTATGGTTATATTTCTAGAAGTTTGAAAATGAACTCGTAAATACGGACCTTGCAACCAAAGCCCCAAACGTATTAAAGACGAATATGTCGGAACTTCAAGATCAGTGATCAAGCACTGTGATATGTGTGATATATGATATTAATAATAGTTTTATTAGAAAACTGGGTAAAAATACACATAGAAAAGACAAAACGTCAATGTCACAGCTATTCTGGTAGTTATTAAGAGCACTACGCTCGTATTTTGGAACTCATTTTGGTTCGTATCTGAGAACAGGAGTAGATGACTATGAGATACAGTAATCACATACCATTAGGTGGACTGTGTGCTTGTTTGTCACCCTATCATTTAAAAAAAAGTTATTGGAAAATAACTATTCCGAAAAGGACAGAGATTGGATATCACAGGTAATTGTGATATCTCCCACTCGTGCGGCGCTAATGAAGAATCATAGTTAGTTTTATGGAAAGAGGAGCTACTTGCGTAAAATAAAAATGGTTGATAGTAGAAAAACATAACGGAGCTAAAAACTGAAAACTAAAAGAATATTTTTTATTTGGTCATAACTTTTTACTGACAATGTTTTCTGTCTACCCCTTCGGGGTTTACAGGCGTAACTCTATGTATGTAGTCTTATAATTTTATATAGAATATTATTATCTATACTTTTAATTCAATTAATAAAACTTAGCTACACTTTTAAAATTGGGAGGTCGAAAATCTAATTCGATTAACACCAGAATTAATACCATTCGATGTAATTTGGACAAGGAGGCTTTCGTTGTAACAAGCGCGCTTAATATCAAGTCCGATTCGACAAACATGTTGGTAAAGTTTTTAAATCACCCTCACAATACTGTTACCGCGTCTATATTACGCGTCGAGCGCTGTCGGAAACCGGTTGTTTTCTTTTGCTCCGCCAATAAGTATACTTCGATCCGCGTGGCGTACTTTACGTGTTGTCGCTAAGCATGAACGTCCGACTGCGAGTTGCATCGTGCACAGAGTAGCTTGTAATCAGAGAGCTCGATCATTATATCGAACACTACGAACAGTACCTTTATTCATGAAGTGGAACATACACCGAGGTCACGTGAAATGAGTATAGATGGATCGCTTATTGATAAGAAGTCCCCTCCACCCTACATTACGTTTCGTAAAGGAGTATCTAGCCAAGAGATCGATTTCTGTCATGAATTTAAGTCCTTCCAAGAAAATATGCTATCCATGCTGGAGACCTGGTTTACTAAGCAAGATGACAAATTTACCAAATTGCTCAATGAGTTTGCGAGTGTGAAGACATCCATTAAATATATTAGCGATAAAGACGACGAACTTGAAAAATGTACGCATGAGGTTTAGAGCCGAGTAGAAATAATTGAAAAGAGCGTCCAAACAAATGAACCACGTATTGCTTACTTGGAGGCGAAACTTGACTAAATTGAACAGAGAGCGCGGAATTGTAATGCAGAAATAAGTAATCTTCCTGAAAAACGTGGAGAGAACCTTATATCTATCATTGAAAATATCGCAAATGTAATAAAACAACCTGTATCTGCACGTGATATCATCTCCATCCATCGTGTCCCCCAGAGTAACCCAAATAGCTCACGGCCAAAAAACGTAATAGTCCAATTTGCCAGCCAAATTACTAGAGACAACTTCATCTCGGCAGTACGTTTGAACAAATGTGTAACATCTGATCAGATTAACATACAAGGTTCTCCTCAAAAAGTTTATATAAATGAACATCTAACACTACAATCTAAGAAGTTATTGCGACAGGTTCGGGATATTGCCAAACAAAATAGATAAAGGTTCGTTTGGATCAAGCATGGTGTTATACTGCTCGAGCTGATGTTCCCACGCCTGCGATTGCAATTCGCTCAGAAAAGGACATTTCGAAACTTATACCATATATCGCTAAACAATAATTACGTATATATAATTATTTTATGTGTGTTCTCTAATAGTTGTATAAGTAAAGTTATCGTGAATTACGTAATACATTATAATAATTTCAACTCATTACTGACGTTCTGTATGTGGGCTCTGATCTGTACACTACACTGTGTGTTTGCGACAAGGTACACTTATTATTACCTACTTTTTACCATAATGATCATAATATTTGCTATCGACATATTTAATCCACAATGTTTATTTACACATGTTTTACCAAGTAATGAAAATTACTTTCCATATATTGTGAGTATTCAAGTGATTGGTTTTGTTGGTTATGTAAGTATTATTAATTTTCACAAGCTCATTTTATCGAACTTAATAAGTGCTGGTATTAGTGTAAATTATGTGCTAAGTATAATGGCTAACGAGTTTATATTTCTATTTATATAAGGTTCTCTCCACGTTTTTCAGGAAGATTACTTATTTCTGCATTACAATTCCGCGCTCTGTGTTCAATTTAGTCAAGTTTCGCCTCCAAGTAAGCAATACGTGGTTCATTTGTTTGGACGCTCTTTTCAATTATTTCTACTCGGCTCTTAACCTCATGCGTACATTTTTCAAGTTCGTCGTCTTTATCGCTAATATATTTAATGGATGTCTTCACACTCGCAAACTCATTGAGCAATTTGGTAAATTTGTCATCTTGCTTAGTAAACCAGGTCTCCAGCATGGATAGCATATTTTCTTGGAAGGACTTAAATTCATGACAGAAATCGATCTCTTGGCTAGATACTCCTTTACGAAACGTAATGTAGGGTGGAGGGGACTTCTTATCAATAAGCGATCCATCTATACTCATTTCACGTGACCTCGGTGTATGTTCCACTTCATGAATAAAGGTACTGTTTGTAGTGTTCGACATAATGATCGAGCTCTCTGATTACAAGCTACTCTGTGCACGATGCAACTCGCAGTCGGACGTTCACGCTTAGCGACAACACGTAAAGTACGCCACGCGGATCGAAGTATACTTATTGGCGGAGCAAAAGAAAACAACCGGTTTCCGACAGCGCTCGACGCGGAATATAGACGCGGTAACAGTATTGTGAGGGTGATTTAAAAACTTTACCAACATGTTTGTCGAATCGGACTTGATATTAAGCGCGCTTGTTACAACGAAAGCCTCCTTGTCCAAATTACATCGAATGGTATTTTAGATTTTCGACCTCCCAATTTTAAAAGTGTAGCTAAGTTTTATTAATTGAATTAAAAGTATAGATAATAATATTCTATATAAAATTATAAGACTACATACATAGAGTTACGCCTGTAAACCCCGAAGGGGTAGACAGAAAACATTGTCAGTAAAAAGTTATGACCAAATAAAAAATATTCTTTTAGTTTTCAGTTTTTAGCTCCGTTATGTTTTTCTACTATCAACCATTTTTTGTTTTACGCAAGTAGCTCCTCTTTCCATAAAACTAACTATGATTCTTCATTAGCGCCGCACGAGTGGGAGATATCACAATTACCTGTGATATCCAATCTCTGTACTTTTCGGAATAGTTATTTTTCAATAACTTTTTTTTAAATGATAGGGTGACAAACAAGCACACAGTCCACCTAATGGTATGTGATTACTGTATCTCATAGTCATCTACTCCTGTTCTCAGATACGAACCAAAATGAGTTCCAAAATACGAGCGTAGTGCTCTTAATAACTACCAGAATAGCTGTGACATTGACGTTTTGTCTTTTCTATGTGTATTTTTACCCAGTTTTCTAATAAAACTATTATTAATATCATATATCACACATATCACAGTGCTTGATCACTGATCTTGAAGTTCCGACATATTCGTCTTTAATACGTTTGGGGCTTTGGTTGCAAGGTCCGTATTTACGAGTTCATTTTCAAACTTCTAGAAACATAACCATAGGCGTAATTAAAATAAAGAGTTATTACAGCTTATGCTTATTCTTTTGGTATAAGCATAAGCTTTTTTTACCTTTTTTAAATGGATGTGGTGAGATTTGTACGCCGTATGACTCCAATGCGTCTTCGACCCTCCCAGTACGAATTAAACAATTAATTTAAATGTTAAGTCCTCATTTACTAGAGGCTATTGTTCATATTTAGCAATTTAGCAAGTATTTTTACTAAGACATCGACAGTAAAAGATCTACCGTTAGCGAGGGAGAATTCGGTGTTAAAATATGTACGTAGAAAGCAATTGGGAGTATTGCACACAGCGGTACGGTCAATCGGTCGGTCGGTCGGTTGTCCCCTGAATCTTTAAGTAAGGTTCTATCCACTGAAATCCATTTGTATATGTCTGCTAAGAAGCTCCCTGTAATTTCCCGTGGACATGCGCTCTACCTTTTGAGACGAGGTTTACGTCCACTTTTTACATCGCTAATATATTACACCCTTGATGGGACTAAGGTGTGAAACATCTATAAATATTCGTTATGGATATAATGAAATTTTTTATATAATGACATTAATGAAAAGAAAACGAAAGTAGGGAAAATCTTTATTTGAAGCTACATAATACATAACTGCATCACATTATAATATACATATATATATACTCAGGGTGCTTGGAAGGTCGATGCAAAGCCGTAAAGCGGAGCTAGTATAGACTATTCAGAACTATTTGAACCCCACTTGTCTTAGACGAATTGCGACAATTATTTTTTATCAAGCTTTAATGATTTTTGATGACAAAACCCAAAATTTTGGATTTCAGTGTTAAGTACCAGCGCTCATTGAAGGGAATCTGGTGCAGACATTCATCGACATCATCCGCGACCTTGAAGTCAGAGCTGCTGTGAGGCTCGGGCACCACTAGACACTTAAGGACGCCTTGGCCGATGCACTTGAGGTTGAAGCCATGCGGCAGGATCTTCATTCCCATTGCGTCAGGGAGATTGCAACAGCTACAGTTCGCGACCGCAATAATGGATACAACCCTAGGTGCTATGGCTGTGGGGAAAGGCGCTACCTTCGATCCAGCTGCCCTAAGCGAGCTATAGAAAGGGAAGATGATCAATCTCGAGGGGTAGTGCCGCTAACGGCACCGCCTGGCGGCGTGAGGATCATCGTTCCAATCACGTTAGGGAGGTTGCATCATTTACGGTTTGCGACTACAATAAAAATTACAGCCCAAGGTGCTATGGCTGCGGGGAAATGGGCCATCTTCGATCCAGCTGCCCTAAGCGATCTGTAAAAAGGGAAGGTGATCGATCTCGAGAGGGTTGTGCGGCTAACAGCACCACCCAGCAGCAGGAATACGACTTTATGATTGAACACAGCAGCGGAAAATCGCATGGCAACGCAGATGCATTGTCAAGGAGACCTTGTCCTGAAGATTGCAAGCATTATACTAGGCAAGAGAGTAAAGAAGTGGTATCCGTGAGGATGCTCAGGACAGACCACCTCAGCAACGAGAGGAAGGACAGCTTACAACATGCACAGCAGGAAGATCCGGACATCAAGCCGATTCTGGAATAGATGAAGGCCCGTGCTACCAAGCCCAAGTTGAGTGACGTCTCAGCGATGAGTTCGACCACTAAAAGCTATTGGGCTCAATAGGACAGCTTGCTGATTCAGGATGGAGTCCTGTGCCGTAAATGGGAAAATGGTCGAGGAGACAGCTGTCGTTTGCAAATGGTCGTCCCTAAAGTTAAGGTGGCCCGTGTCGTTCACTACAGTTTTCTAAAATATGGCCAAACAATTACGGCAGTTATCTATTGTCAGCAACTGCAAACCATGAAGGAAGAACTAGCTGTCGAGATTGGTCAATCGCTCTAAGCTACTGCTGCTTTACGACAACACAAGACCACACACTGCACAACAAACAACCATTTAGTTAGATGAGCTACAATTGGAATGTCTGCGACATCCACCGTACTCCCAGGACCTTGCTCCAATAGATTACCATTTTATTCCGGAATTTGGACTGAATTTCTTACAAGGAAAAAATTCAACTGTGATGCGGCAGTTCAAACCGCCTTCAAAGAGTTTATAGGCATTGATGAATATAGTGAAGAAATATGTATAAAGCACTAACATAGCGAAAAAAATCTGATAACATTTCGGACCATTTTTTTACTAAAGCTTATACGAGTAGCTTGCTGCAGTGAAGGTTAACCCGAATTCGTTAGTTCCGAATCGATCGAACAAATGAAAGTAAAATATTTGATCATTTCATGGCTCGGACTAACAAGAAAAGGTAGACTCAACGCTGCGTACATTTTAAATGACGCTGAAACCAAGCCGCAACCATCCACGACTTATTATAAGTACACGCACTCACATATACGTATGCATCTAAAATCATTTGGTGGATTATACGTGCTTTTTAGGTTCCAATAAGCTATAGACTTTTACGAGCTAAAGATGTGTTGCGTAGGTGGCATTCGCCCACATGATTTTTTTTAGTAAAGGGATCAATGATCTTTAACCTTTGAATTACCTATAAGATGGTAAAAGTACATAGATAACAACGGTGTAAACTTTGATTAATTAAATATATTTAAAAAAATGACTTTATATTCCTCCCGCACAAAACGCCAATTTCATATGTAAAGACCTATTACTATAATTCTTAAAAATATATAGAAGGTGCAACTCATCATCATCATCATCATTATCATTACAGCCCTTCACAAGTCCACTGCTGAACATAGGCCTCCCCCAAGGTATGCCACAAAGCACGGTACCGAGCCACCTGCATCCATCGACTTCCTGCATGTCTTAACAGGTCGTCACTCCATCTAGTGGCCCTCCACTAGATGGAGTTTCCCTTCGTCGTCCACCACAATGGTGTCTCCCAACGGATAGGTCTTAAGATGAATATGGACAAAACAAAGATCATGTTTAATGTCTATGTCACACCTATGCCGGTAGTTGTTGGGAGCACTAAGCTCGAAGTTGTTGACGAGTACGTTTACCTGGGACAAATAGTCCGACTAGGTAAGTCCAACTTCGACCGAGAGGTCAATCGACGGATTAAACTCGGCTGTGCAGCGTTCGGGAAATTACGACACATCTTCTCGTCAGGTATACCTCGAAACCAGAAAACTAAGTTGTACAACCAGTGCGTGTTGCCAGTGATGACCTACAGAACCGAGACGTGGTCCTTCATTGCTGGCCGTATGAGGACGCTCAATGTCTCGATCACTAAATGGCTCGGGGTTTCTCTGCGTGATAGACTCATAAATGAGGATATCCGCAGTAGAACCAGAGTGACCGACATAGCCCAACGGATTAGTAAGCTGAAGTGGCAATGGGCCGGCCATATAGCTCGAAGAACCGATAACCGATGGGGAAGAAAGGTTCTCGAGTGGCAGCCTCGTACCGGTAGGCGTAGTGTAGGGCGACCCCCCACAAGACTGAGTGACAACCTGGTAAGACATGCAGGAAGTCGAAGGTGGCTCAGGACCGTGCTTTGTGGCGTTACTTGGGGGAGGCCTATGTTTAGCAGTGGACTCCTGAAGGGCTGTAATGATAACAAACTCATTGAAATATAAGGCCATTGTTTTTAACTTTATGCTCATAAATACATTTTAGTTGTTTAAAATATTGTTACCAAGGTATTTTTAAATGAATTTATATAGAAATTAATGATTACTTATTATAAAAAATAATGCACCGTCACACTTTCACAAGTTCACTGCTGCACATGGACCTCGACCAAGGCCAATGAAACCAATCACAGTCCTAAGCCACCTGTACCCATTGACTTCCTGAAGGTCGTCACTCCATCTATTTGGGGGGCCGCTCTACATTTCGTCTTCCGGTATATGGCTGCCGGTCGAGAAACTTTCTTCTCAATCGGTTGTCGGTTCTGC